AACAAACAGGTTTGTTCTGGAGAGGGTGTAGCCAGAATGCTCCCCGGAGTCAGGGATTCTGAAGCTTCATCTGACATACTTTGGGCATGTTTCAGGGTCCTTGGAGAGGGACAGGCTGTTTGGGAGAGTGGAGGGACAGCGCAGGAGAGGAAGACCCTCGATGCGATGGATCGATTTTGTGAGTGGAGTGGTGGGAATGAGTGTGTTTGAGTTGGTGAGGTTGGCACAGGATAGAATGTCGTTTAGAGCTCTTGTACATAGGGTCGCTATGAGTTGCAAGTGACTCGATGGCACATAACAACAACATATACCTTTTAAACAGTTTTCTCATCTGTTTCAATGCAGTATACATAATTTATCCCATCTTTCTCAGTCTCCCCCCAACCCCTGTGTCAGTCACTTTTTACAGTAGTGGCACTATGCGGATTTATGTCCTTTTGTGACTGAGATATTTCAGTCAATATAATGTTCTCCAGGGTCAACCATTTTGTATAGTATTTCATGAATTCCTTGGGTTTCAATGCAGCGTAGTATTCCATTGTGTGAACATACTACAGCTTCTCTATCCATTCGTTTGTTGATGGGAATGTAGGTTTCCAACTCTTTGCTATTGTGAACAAAGCTGTGATAATCATGGACGTGCATATATCTGCTTGGGTGGCGGTTATGGTTTTCTTTGGGATATATTTCCAGTAGTGGAATTGCTGCATCAAACGGTATTTCTGTTAGCAACTTTTTGAGAAAACGCCATACTGCCTTCCATTTTCAGAAGTATTTAATACAGGCAGTACCTAAGTTACAAATGAGATTCATTCTTGGGTCTTTAAGAATTTGTAAGTTAGTTGGAATGAATGTAAACCATTCTTATTTGTTAAAAGAAAAGACAGTTGTCTAAAAGCTGCATGTGCAGTAAGTGAAAGTGATTGTGATGAATAATTTGTTGAAAGTTAGGCTCAGGAGCCCTGCTGACAGTCATTAAATATAAAATGCTTAACTTCTAGCCTAAAAGGTAAAAAAATTTGAGTGCACTAGCTATTTTGAGGTTGAATGATGTGGCAGTCTACTTTCATAAAGATTTAAAACTGGAAACTTTTTTTCACCTTTTTTAAAA